TTAAGTTCGTTATTCTAAAACTGCCCAAAATTAATTAAACAAACAAAAAACATGCAGCTGACTTTTTTAACTTGACAAACAGTAAGCAGTAGATTAAAATGATTACTAATACAAAGTCTAAACAAATACCAAATTACTCTTATTTCTCAAAGTTAACAAACATATGTCTCTTGTAACACCGTCAAAGTAAATAAGTTTTTTAAACCAATCAAGTTTTAATAAATTATCACGTGATCAGCAAAACTTTTAATAATAAAACAAAGTTTAAAATGCGAGAAATTCTTTATTTCACCGAAACATCTGATATGCTTGATGACTCTTGAAAACAATTTGCGCAAAACAGATTTACTTCAAATTTTAAACATCAGCTAATAAATAAATTATCTAAAGGACCTTTTAATTTCAAGAAGGATCCGCTATAACAATGTAAGTCCTCATTGTTTTTAAGGGCTGAAGCACCTTAAAAACAGTGAGGACTTACATTGTAACATAACAATTTTTTTTATTTTTGACAATAAAAATAAAATATAAGAATATATAGCTTAACCTTTTTACTAAACGACTACCAATTTTTGTTCAATTGGGTTTATAAATAGCGGCACAATATTGTTTGGCTTATATAGTGTTTTCGCAAAGTAAAAAAGATAGGTCACAGTTTTTTACTTACTTTTTTACGTCAAATTACGGATATTCGCACGTACCTGCCTAAACATCCTCAACCTAAATGAGCCGTCAATGCAATACGTGAAAAAAACCCAGCAAACTGTTAAAGCAAAGTATGTTTTTATTAATGTCAACTGAACTCAGAGCAACAACTATAGACATATTTTAGGTCAAGCACAAATTAAAAATGTTCTATGATTGATGGGAATGTTTCCACTGTTCTTTCTCCATTAAGTGATTTTTATCAAGTTTGCAATATATGCGCATTAAATCTTCAAAAAATTAATGACTTAGTAATTGCGTACGGTACACAAACAAATCAAATGTCTATGGACCTTGGAATTTCGACTTTCCATCTTTGGATTTTTTCTTTCATATGGCTGATACATATTAAACAGAAAAGAAGACAAGAATAAAATGATTTTGGATTTTTTTTTATGCAAACACTTTTGTAAAGAGAAAAAAATCCAGGATTGGAATTTCAGTAAAAAATTAAAGATGCACTCAGACTCATTGTTGATGCACCAAAAATTGGTGCTTTTGGTACGTCGAATCATAAAAACACTGCGGAAAAGACATATAGAATCCGTGTAAAAAATTGCTAAAACACTTGGAATTGATAAGGATCTTTTAATAAGACTTTTTATTATTCTATTTGTATTGTTCTGTAAGCACTCAATTAATCCAGATAAACCAGGTTTATATTGCAAAGATGCATTTGTAGACATATGTAGCACATTGTAAATGGTATGCTGTGTCTACTAAATTGCACAAGATGATTGTCCGTTCCCACCACATTGTATGAGGCAAACCAGTTCCAATACGCATCCTATCTGAAATAGACCGGGAAAATCAAAACAAAGGTGTTTTGGTTTTCTCGTTTTTCTTTTCAAGATTTTCCAAGAAAAAATAATAATGAAAATGTAATGCGAAGATTCATCTGCTCATTAGCCCTCTGCTATTTATATGAGGCGGTGTTCTGAGTCAAAGAAGGAACTTGCTCTTTTAGCATTATGTATAGACTTTTTTTTGTAGATTTTTCAATATGAACTATTCTCTTTATTTGTTATTACTATTTGTAGTATTGATAATATGGATCTCAAATGGAATTCAATTAATTTAAAAAGACTGTAAAAATCTGCTCGTTTACAATAACGCAATTGTTTTTTTGGTATGGATTTGACACCTGTTTTATTGTTGTTTTTTTAAAAACTCAATCACTTTATAATAATGTATTTTTATTATACTAAATGCTTGATAGTTACGTATTTTTAAAGATAGAAGTTTAAAAAAAAACAAAAACTAACGAATATTAAAGTAAGTTTATTTTAAACTATAATCTCGGTGTAAAATTAAAAATAATGTCTTGGTAATTATAAAGCATGTGTCTTTGATAATTTTGTTTATTGTTTGACCAGAAAGTCAAACTACTGATATCAGTATCACGGAAAAAAGTTCTATAATGTAGCTCTAAAAATAATGTAAACGCAAAAAGCATGTCACGTGTTATTTCATGTGTATTTGGAGTGTTATTGCGCAACTATGTCACATGTTATTTTATGTGTCCTTGTTTTTATTCTAAATTTTTGTGTATGTACCAAATATCATTGAAAAAAATTAATTAATTTAAATATTGTTATGTAAAGTGTGTTGTTTGTTTTGTATACTTTTTGTCCTTCTGTCTTATATTATGTTTAATTTTTGTTTTTGTCATGTGATCGTTGTAATCTGCACCTATATGATAATTTTTCATCCATCAAAAATGTGTCATACTTGCTGGGAACTCTTTATAGTAAATAGAATGTTTAAAACTAAATAAGTAATACGTATCACATGTTTATCATTCGTTGTTTTTTTTTGTCCTTGGTTTTGTGATATTGTCGTGTCCTTCAAAGGTAATGCATCCAACGTTACAATGATAGTTTATGTTGACCTCGGTATAACGAACATTCAACAAAATTAATAGCTTTTTAGCTTTATAGTTTTTAGATAATAACTAGTGGCGCATAAATTTATTTAAAAAAAAGACCTTGAAGTATCCTATGGACATATTTTTTTTTTTTTTGTATAACAAATTGTGTCATGTTACTTTTTTAAGTAAAAAATTTGTATAACAAATCCTTTAACGCACTATATGATACTCCAGAGTATCCATTTTGTAATGTAAAAAAAAGAATTACTCATTCCGAACATAAAAATAAAAAAGAAAAGAAATAAAAAGCCAATAAAAACGAAAAACAGTTTACAAAAACAAATTTACTCCTTATAAACGTTTTTTTAAACGTAAAACAAAATAATACTTGCCTTAGTTTTTAGTAAAGCAATTTCAATTTTAAATTTCATTAACCAATCAAAAGAAATCATTTTTAACGTTAGCTACCGTGTAATGGTTAGCCACAGCAGTCAATAAAAAAATTTACTAGTCACAAAACCTTGTAACCGTTTGAAAAACAACAAAATTGCTGTACGTATTTTAAGCAACAAAGTTTGTTGTAATATATAATAAGCCACAACACTTCTTCTATCTGTTTTAAAGCCACCAAAGTGGCGGTACTAATTTGCTAGCCATAAAATTTGTGGTACCTAATTTGTAAGTCAAAAAACGTGCGCTACCCGAAATTGGTATTTCAGAAATGTATATACAAATAAAAAAGTATAAATTTATCAACATATTAGTCTTATAATAATTTGGACGATTATGATAATTGCACGTACAAAAGACCAAATATAAACCAAAATTGTTTGCTCGGACAGGACGGAACAAAATGTTTTCGTCTATGATAGGTTCAGATTGGATTTAATGACGTACGTTCAAAATTAAACGTGCTTTTAACATCCAAATTTGACCTCCTAATGTGCGTCCATATATGAAATTAGAAATTTCTTTGCAAACTAGAATTTAAAATTGGAAGTACAAGTTTGACTTTTTTGAAAACTTAGAGAAAAACGTTCTTTTCAAAATACAAAGTGTCTAAAAATTGTTTTAACTCAATTTTTTTGAGTTGTGAACGTAGAACAAAATAGTTCTAACCTCTCGATTTTGCGCCAATATTTGTGCAATATAGGCACGCTTGAATTGGCTAAAAATAGTCAATTCCAGAGATATTGGTGTGTTTATTCAAATTATTTGTTAAGAGATATTTTGCCTAAGGAACAAAATTATTCCATTTTAAGAAACATTACTCTTTTTTTGGGATACACTTTTCATTATTTTTTTCTCGAGCTAGGCTTTATGTTAGAACATCGTAGATGATCTCTAAGTAACTGTTTTAGATGTTTTGTTTTAACGGTATCGGCAGGAATGTTTATAAGAACGTTTAGTATATTGCAAATTGCGAAAAGTTGATATTTTGCATATATTTTGTTATTTTTCTATTAGCTTTGAAACATAAATCATCGGAATATACAGTAATTTCTTTAAAATAAAAAACTAAACAGAATGCAATGCGAAAGATGTATTTTAAAATAAAAAATACAAATTCAAAACATCAAAAATTACATACTAAAAACACTATCAAAACTACAAATAAAAAGAAATTTGAAATTAAAAATCAAGTCGTTGACATATATTAATAATTTAACCGAAACGCCTTTTTTCGTATGGCGTCCTTTTTCACTTCCTTTTTCCCATCTAAATAAAAAAAAAAGGAATAAAAACGATAAAAACAAACAATTCAATATAAGACCGATGCAGCAGTCGTTCAAGCTTTCGTGTAAAACCTTAAGGATTTACCTAATAAAAGAGTGTTACACAAAAACGCAGAAAACTTACCTAAATATCCATTAATGACATTGAACATTTTAATGGAGCCATCCTGAGCTTCATACCACGGATCTCCTGCGTAAACTTTGACATTTGTAAATACTTGTGGGTTGAAGTTTTGTACAGTATATACATTTTCGTTATTGATATATAAAGTAAAAGAAGCTCTTCCCGATTCAGCGTGTTGACGTATATGAATATTTATCCACTCGCCTCGTTGAAGTGGTTTGGAATTAAAAAATTCATTTTTATTATTGTTTATTGCAAAACCAACGTGTAACATTTGATTAGAAATCCAAATGCCAGGAATTCGATCACCGTATTTCGAATTATCCTCTCCTATAGTCAAATGAATGACACTTCTAAATCCATTTGAAAAACTGTTGAGTTTTAAATCGAAATAAATATCAAATGATTGTTCTAATTTTGACAAAACCGCAACCAAGTTATTTTTTTTCAGTGTCTCTTCAACTTCATTATTTACAAAATCTAAAGTAAAGAAAAAAACCACCTTTTAAGTATCTTTATAATAAATTTAATTAGAAGTAAACAGTCAAAAACAAAAAAGGTTTCCTAAAAATATTATCATTCAGCTTGCAAAGTTTAAATAATTTTGATAAATCTTACATTTTGACTTCAGTACAGCGTTCGCTAAAGATTCACCTAAAATAACGTGCAAAAATTAACATCCATTTGAGTTCAGTTAGACAATTCATTAAAAGTAAAAGTGTAAAAAATGAAAGTTCTGTATATAAAATTAGTTCAGATATAAAAGTAATAACCAATAGTGCATTTAAAAGTTTTACGTTGTACATTTTCAATTACTAAAATACAAATCGAAAAAACAGACTCTTTGATACGCCTGATTTAAATGCGTTAGACAAAAATAGTAAAAAAGAGTATTAAAAAGAGTAATACCAGGCTCCCCGTTTACAAGAATGAGATTTTTTATCGATCCATCTTGAGATGGATACCACGGATCTGAAGCAAAAACTTTGACGTTTTCAAATTTTTGGGGTTTGGCATTATTTTCAGAAAATGCGTTTGTTCCATTTACGTCAATTGTGAAAACATATTTGTCATCAACACGTTGCTGACTAATAACAACGTTTGTCCACACATTGAGGGGAAGTGCATCAATATTGATTTGTCTATTCCTATTTCCATTTATCGGTGCAGTAATGTGAAAACCCCTATAGTTAGGTTCATAGGGTCGTAACCAAAGTGCAGGAGTTCTGTCTCCGTATTCACTGATATCATTACCAACTGTGAAATGAAGAACACTATGAAAACCATATGAGTATGACTTGGGTTTTAAATCAAACGAAATCTTGTAGGACATAGCTAATACAGGAATGGTGGCTACTAATTCCGCTGATTTTAAACTTGTTTCGTAATCTCTAATCAGCTCATCTGAAAAAGATACATAAAAAGGCAAATTTAAAAACTTAAACTAAAAAACAAACTGAAACAACAACAAAACCTGTTTAAAACAAAAATCATACTTTTTAAATAAAAAAAATTGTATTATTGTGTAAAGCAACATACTAAATATCTGAAAGATTGCGAGGTTAGTATTATCTTTTTCTATTTCCACTGATTGGGTTAACTCAAAATAATGTTTTTCTACTCTATTAAAACTTGAGTTGTTATCAAAAAAAAGTTGGCAAGAAAACAGAAGTAATAAAAAAATTTTTATATGCCGTGTCCAAGAAGCTTCAATTTTTTAAATCGATTTATCTCCAAACTCAAAAATGTGGAGCAACCGTGCGAGATGCTATTTATTTCTTAGGTTTATTTGCTGGTATTATTTGAAACCGGTAAAAGTGTTTTAAGTTTTAATATAACAGGTATGCATACATGTTCTAGATTGATATGGATTTTTTTTAAACTTATTTAGTTAATAAAAAAAATTTATTTGTAATAAAAAAAAAAAAAAAAAAAATTTGATACCTAAACCATGTGTTACCACGAATAGAAAAACAACACCAAGTACCACTTTCTAAGAAATAAAAACGTTCTTTGTTAAGTAAGTCAAAGTCATTTTGAAATACTAAAAAGAAATATAGTAAAAATGCAAAAAGAGAATAAATAGTACCATTTTATTATCTATTATCTGTATCGCGATATTCGTTTTTTCTCAGCAGATGGTTTGTTAAATTTGCATAGGTTGACCAAATTACGCGTCTTTATATAGAGAGCAAGATTACTGGCGTGTGACTAATCAAATGCTCCAAACAATTGCTTTTCAAATTTGATTTGCAATTTTATCTTATATTTTATTAATAAATAATTATTTAATAACCCTTTGACGTAAACCTAATAACGATAACATCTCATTTTAAACATATCTATGCAATTCTATTAATTGAGTTAAGCTCTTTTAAACCAGGTCATTTATAAAGTGATACCCCATCAAATCCTTTCTAAATAATGGAAATAATTTTGACATTTTGATAATAAGCTCATATGATAGGCATTTTGGATTAAAAACATAAAAAGTTTGTTCCCCATTTATTTTTTGAACTTTCGATAAATTAATTAAAAAAAAAATTATAAAAGGGTGACAAAAACATTTACACTTCTTAAGCGCTTTTTTCCATTTTCGATTTTTGCGAAACTTTGTCTGATTGTAAACATTATACTTCTTGTAAAGTAGATATGCAAACCCCTTCAATGTTGTTTTATGTTCTGGGAAGTGACGTTATAAACGACATAAATGCTGCTCTATTTTGTTACTTTTTTATTTTGAGGCCGGAAAAAGTTTATTTTATTTTCTTAAATTAAAAAAAGTTGCTATATATTTTGTGTGAACTATTAGAGTGACGGTGTTTCAATAAAGTCGAGGTAATATTGTTGAGGCAAAATTTTATTTAGTATGAACAATTATAAAAATTTGATGTTTTTTTACCAAGTAAACTAAAAGTTTTTACTTGAAGTCATTAAAATTCCGAAACGGATTCATTTTGTTTTTTATTAGTTATTAACACCTTGAACTTTTTTGCTTTCCTTAAAACAGTTTTGCGTAAGTCATGCTGAAATCATGTTGAGAGCTTACATTGTTTAATGTTGTAATTAAAACTACTCAGCATTTGTTGCAATGAGACACCACATTTTCTGAAATTGTGTTTACTTTTGAATTTGTCTTTTCCAGATAAGAATTCGTTAACTTCGATTTTATATAGCAGACAATGTATTTGCAAATTTTTGATCTTGCAATTGTGGCGTAAAAAATGATACTTTTATGCAAAGCATTTGTATTTTGTGTAACTTTAGTTTAAGTTGTTGGTAGTTTTTAAAATGTCATAAAATTTTATGAAGTTTCAAAAATTGTAAAAATTAAAGACATTTTAATGCAGTAGATACTTTAGTGCAGTAGAAAAAACAAAACTTTCTTTTAATTCAAATCTAGATAATTATCAAAAATTTCTATAAAGTAGACAAACAACGCCTGCGTTTTAGCCATATGTCTTCTTTTAATTTAGAATTTAAAATTAAGAAAAACAGATATCAAGCGAGTTAGATAGCTATGCAGATTTACTTGCGCATATAAAATTTAAACACTAGGCAAATATTCATCAACTACATACAAGCATCACTAATTTCTGGTTAAAACTTGAAAAATCTTATATGTTTTTATTTGCTGGTACGTATGCTACCTTGAAAATTCAAAAAAAAACCGTCTTAAAAAACCATACAAATAAAAACGAACAGTAAGAAAAAAAAAGGAGAAAGAGAAAGAGCAGAACGGCAAGATGGAGAACGTATTGATAATCATTGAGTTTTTGAAAAACTGTCAGTCATGAAGCAGTAATGCTTTGTCAGGATGTTTGTTTTATTGTAATGATTAAATTCCTGCATGAACCTTTAGTTTGCAAATAGTAAACTTTGCAATAAAATAACCATGTATTTTTCAAAAAGTTTGTCGTCTGGTCACGGAAACGGGGAAAGATAACTTGTTATGCGTTTTCTGTCTTCCATTTTCAACTCGAAGACACAAACCGCATAACAAGTTATTTTTCTCCGATTCCGTGACCAGACGACACATTCTTTTGAAAATTAAATGTTAATTTTATTGCAAACTTTTCTATTTGAAAACTGAAGGTTCATGCAGGAATTTAATCATTACAATAAAACAAACATGCTGACAAAGCATTACTGCTTCATGACTGACAGTTTTTCAAAAACTCAATGATTTTCAATTCGTTCTCCATCTTGACCTCCCTCCCTCTTTCCCTTCTTTTTTCTTACTGTTCGTTTTTATTTGTATGGTTTTTTCAAACAGAATTTTTTTTGAATTTGCAAGGTAGTATACAAACCAGTAAACTTAAACATATAAGCCTTATCAAGTTTTAACCAGAAATCAGTGATGCTTGTTTGTAGTTGTTGAATATTTGTTAAGTTTTTAAATTTTATATGCTAAGTAAATCTGCATAGCTATCTAAATCGCTGGATAATTGCTTTCCTCATTGTAAATTCTAAAATAAAAGACATATGGTTAAAAGGCAGGCGTTTTTTGTCTTCTTTATAAAAATTTTTGATAGTTGTCTATATTTGAAATAAATGAGGGTTTTGTTATTTTTACTGCACTTAATTGTCTACTGCATTAAAATGTCATTAATCAGTCTACTGTCTTAAAATGTCTTTAATGAGTCTATTTTATTAAATTGTCTTTTAATGCGATTTAAATAAAAGAAACTACAAAATTAGCAGATATAACTTGACTAATTAGGTCGTTTCTGAAATATGAATGTTGACAGCTTTACGTTACGTAGAGCGAGAAAAGATCATTACATGAAAAGTGATTTTTCTGTTTTTCGTAATGAAATTAGCGTTACGTACGTTACTGACGATCACTTAGTCTTATAGAACAATATGTTCTTACAGATTTTTCGTTTCTACGAGAATATGTTTTTTAATTTTGTTTTCGCCTTTTTTTTAAAGTACGACTCATACTTTTCGAATATTTATGTAATTTCAATTTTGACACGTAAGAACATGCTTAAAAACAGTTCCAGCATTTTTTGTTTTATTTATAAAGTTTTGTTTAAATGGGAACGTTAGCTCAAAAGCATAACTAACTCTGTCATAATAAACTAATAATATGTTAAGTGTTCTTTTAATAATTATTTGAACCTTTTGTTCATTGTAATTTTTTTCTTTTTTTTATGTGAGTCTTTAAACAAAAAAAAAAATATTAATTTTTCCTTGTAAATGTTGATAAACTGATTTTGATAAGAAAATAGTTCCTAAGATATTTTATAATAAATTTATAAATGTTCTTAAGGGCTTCAATTTAATTATTAGATAGTCAATTATTGACAAATTATAAGTCAGTCGACTTTAAAAAAATCGAGCAATCTACATATTCGACTATAATGCTTTTACTTAATCAATTATTATTATTATTTAGTCCATTATTATTATTATTGTTTAGTCCATTCGCCTAAGTCATAAATGGCACGTTCTGACGTCCAATGTTTGTCCAAATACGCACCATTTTGGACATGGGCAATTTTGGACGTCAGAAACCGCCCAAGCCCAAAATAGCATGCGTGAATATATTTTTTTTAAAAATGGTTAAATAATTAATATAAAAGCTTTCTATTTTTTAAATTATTCTATAACTGTAACTATTTAGTTATTGTTATCTTAACATATAGTTTAACTATATAGCTCTATAAAAATGTATTTTTATTTAGATTAATAAATTTAATTAGGGACTTTCACAGCGTGCAGTTTTAGTATATAACTTTTTAATAGGAGATGAATGATCAAAATAGCGGTTTTATTTCCTTCCATTACTCAAATAATATTACTTATTGTGGAAAAACTTTATGTGATCTGATTAAGTTAGTATTAAAAGTTTGGTTTCCTATAACAATAACATGCATGTAAAGGGATAGTAGAGATAGTGATGAAAATTTTACACGTGAAAATAAATAATTGCATTAATGTGATTTGAAAGTTTGTTTCCTTTATTTAGGAAATTTTTTTCTACAATTTTTTTATAAAAAGGCGTACTAAAATAAGTTTTAGTTTGACAAGACATAGAAATTTTTTAGTCTTTTTATAGTCTTTTTTACATAGTCTTTTTTACATTGAGAATGTCTTTTTTGAAGTCATGTTGTTTTTTTCTTTGCTTCATGGAAGTCTTTTATAAATAATAACAATGAAAGAACATATAAACATTTTTTTGAAACCAACAATTTAAAAGTAATTTTCTTGGAACCAACAATTTAAAATAAAAGATATGCGGAATCTTTTTGGAATAAATCTGCAGCAAAATAAATTTGTTCTCCATAATATTTTGAAAACTAATAAGCAACGTTAACGCCAGGATAAACAAAATTCGTTTTAACAGTCACAGCTTTTTTGCCATTTTTTGTTCCGAAACTGCATTCAATTTAAAATAGCTGCAATTACTTTTCTGTACTTAACTGCATTCTCACATATTTAAAGTATACTTAAAAAAAAAATGAAGTGATAAAAAGTCTTTTATAGTTAAAGAGGTAGTAGTTAAAGGCGAGATACTTGTAAAACCCAAGCAAGTTTTCAGTACAAAACGTCTTTTTTCCTTTCACTTTAGTTTTTGAGCAAGAAAAGGGTATTGTTTAAATTTATTTATTCTGATCCGTAACTCCTGTAAAGAGCAAGATGTAGATAAAAGTTGGTCTTTTAATATCTTTATACAATTATTATCTAAAAAATTATTAATTGTTTTTTAGTAATTAAGAAATAAGGTAAAAACAATCTATTATCAATTGAAATCGACATTGTTTTTGTTAATTTATCCCCTTTAAAGATGGTTCTGAAATCTCACACGCCAAAACCACCCCTTATTAAAGAAGGTAATAAAAAAATATAGACTATAAGCGGTTATTAAATAGGAAAACGACTTTTACTTCAAAAGTTTATTTTGTAAGCTATGCTAACAATATCAGTAGAAAGAGTGCTATTTTTATCTGTAGAAAGAGTAAACAACAGATAAGAATTTACACTGTTTCTAATTGAAAACAAAATCAATCTGAAACTGAAGCTGCTGAATATTGCATGAAAAAATTTCCTCTCGCATGCTGAATGCTTGCAAAAAGATTCAGCAAGTTTTGTTGCTTGCAATTGGGTAGCAAAGAATTCTTAACTTGCAAACTAGTACGGCAGTTTTGTGGCTTGCAAACAGGTATAACAAACTTTGCGGCTTGCAACCTGTTATTGCACGATTTTTGGTTTACAAGTTAAGACCCACAAATT